GGTTGATTTGTTTGACGAGAGTGAAGATAGCGCGAAAAGTTGGTTTCCTGGAATGCATTATTTATGTGGACATAGGAAGAGGTGTGTGTCGGTTGTAGACATATTGTATCCACTGCCTGTATTTGTGACAGCGGTTGTGTAGATCGCGGTGACAGTTGTAGACAGGCTACATAGATAGTAGTGCATCTACGACCGATGTGTTTTGTGTCTGACACATCGGTAACCATGGTCACTGACAGATGATTTGCGTAGTATGTATTGTGGAACAGATGGAGAGGAGTTGGAATGTCTTCGTGTGTGTTCGAAGTGGTTTTGAGTGTTGGAGGAAGACATTTACATTGATTGTAGGTGTTGGTGAAAGAGGCATACTGTGACAGTTGTTTGTTGGGAATTACAATTCGACAGACTATCTACTGAACGTCATGTTCGTGGTAGTGCTTGGGTGAATGTATGTGTCAGAGAGAGATGGATAGAGGGTTCCTGTGGTTGGTCGGTCGGTCGGTTGGTTGGTTGGTTGGTTGGTTGTAGATATGTTTTGGAATTGATTTTGAAGGGTTGTGGTGGGTGGTATTGGATTCTTGAGGGTGTGTGGAATTTGTCATTTTGTTGGCGTTGGTGATTCGCTGATGTTTTGTTTCAGCATTCAGTGCATGTTGTTTGTGTTGGTTCCCGATGTTTGTTTATCTGAGAGTGTTAATGAGGGCGTCACGATGACCATGAGGACGTCGTTGTCGTTACTGTTGTGATTGTTATTGTATGTGTGTATGGGTGGAGTTAGTGAGTGATGTTGGTGTTAAAATGTGTGATTGTGTAATTGTTGATGGCGTTTAGTTAATCGATTGGTTGTTTTGTTGTTCTTGGTGACTGTGTTATTGTAGATTTTGTTGATTTGTTTGTGTAGTGTTGGTAGTGGGGAGTAGCGTGCTGGGTTGTGTGGTCATTGGAGGTGATGTGTGTCAGTTGTAGACATATTGTATCCACTGCCTGTATTTGTGACAGCGGTTGTGTAGATCGCGGTGACAGTTGTAGACAGGCTACATAGATAGTAGTGCATCTACGACCGATGTGTTTTGTGTCTGACACATCGGTAACCATGGTCACTGACAGATGATTTGCGTAGTATGTATTGTGGAACAGATGGAGAGGAGTTGGAATGACTGTGTGTGTGTGTGTGTGTGTGTGTGTGTGTAGGTGTGTGGAAGAGAGGTAGGGAGTACGTCTTTTGATAGTTGTCGTGATGTTTGTTATTGGGTTGTGCAGGTGTGTTGTTGGTGATATTGTAGGTTATAGTGTGCCTTCAATTTGTCAGTGTTGATATTGCGTCGATATTTTGTTGGAGAATTGAATGTAGGTTGTTTGTCTTCGAGTTCTAATTTCTGTTTATGTCAGAGTGTTGATGAATCCGTTATAATGTGAACGAAGACGTTGTTGTTCATTTCGGTGTTGTTGTTGTCATTCAGGTATGTTTGTGTGTATGGAGTTGTTTGGTGACATGTGAGTGGAAATGTATAATTGTGTACGTTTTGATTAGGCGTGGTTTGACGATTGCTTGTTTTATTGCCGTCGGTGAGTGTTTGATGATAGGTATGGTTGATTTGTTTGACGAGAGTGAAGATAGCGCGAAAAGTTGGTTTCCTGGAATGCATTATTTATGTGGACATAGGAAGAGGTGTGTGTCGGTTATAGACATATTGTATCCACTGCCTGTATTTGTGACAGCGGTTGTGTAGATCGCGGTGACAGTTGTAGACAGGCTACATAGATAGTAGTGCATCTACGACCGATGTGTTTTGTGTCTGACACATCGGTAACCATGGTCACTAACAGATGATTTGCGTAGTATGTATTGTGGAACAGATGGAGAGGAGTTGGAATGTCTTCGTGTGTGTTCGAAGTGGTTTTGAGTGTTGGAGGAAGACATCCGTCTTGTTTTTATCGTTCGGCTTCGAGAATTTACTGCTGTCTGAAAGTAGACATGACATTTTATCGATATAATCTTTGCGACCCATAATAACAACACCTGTACCTTTGTGAGGGCGTGTTAATAGTATATCGCTGATATGCGTCAAAAGTTTAAGTTCTTCTTTGCGCTGTTTAGTAAGAAGACTTTGCATTTTTGGTCTAGCATTAAGGTATTGATTGCAGGAGTTCGTAATGGTAGATTTGAAGCATTGGAAATCCTGGTCTGACGATGGCGTGAGATCATATGTTTGACTGAGTAAATTCTCAAACTGGACATGAGTATGTAGCTTGTTGATATTGAGATTAACATCGCAAAACTTCGAGCCCATAGACAAGGTTTCCATTTGTAATCCAATGTTAATCTCAATATCAACAAGCTACATACTCATGTCCAGTTTGAGAATTTACTCAGTCAAACCTATGATCTCACACCATCGTCAGACCAGGATTTCCAATGCTTCAAATCTACCATTACGGACTCCTGCAATCAATACCTTAATGCTAGACCAAAAATGCAAAGTCTTCTTACTAAACAGCACAAAGAAGAACTTAAACTTTTGACGCATAACAGCGATATACTATTAACACGCCCTGACAAGGGTACAGGTGTTGTTATTATGGATCGCAAAGATTATATCGATAAAATGTCATGTCTACTTTCAGACAGCAGTAAATTCTCGAAACCGAACGAGAAAAACAAGACGGAATTAATTGAGAAACAACTTACCGATACTTTAAAGAGAATGAAGAACAATCATCTCATTCGTGAAGAATTATACGAAAAGATCAGACCAACAGGATCTCTAATACCAAGACTGTATGGTCTACCGAAAATACACAAAGCTGGAGTTCCACTTCGCCCTATCTTGGATATGTCTGGATCGCCCTATCATCCAGTAGCTGGGTGGTTAGCTGAAATCCTCGAACCAGTCAGGGGGCAACTATCTAATCATTCCCTTCGGGACACCTTCCAATTTGTTGAATGTATACAGGATATAAATGCGTCGAATAAACAAATGTTGTCTTTGGATGTAGAATCCTTATTTACGAACGTTCCACTGACAGAGACCATATGTTTTATATGCAAATATATTGAAGACAACAAATTGAACATAGGGATACCTACTACAGATCTTAAAGAACTACTTTTGAGATGTACATTGAATGTACAGTTTACTTTCAATGAAACAATCTACAGGCAGAAGGATGGTATTGCGATGGGTTCTCCCTTGGGTCCTCTCCTTGCAGACGTTTTTATGTCCAGTCTAGAAAATGGTTCCCTGAAGCCTATGATCCAAAGCTTTCAAATATATAAAAGGTATGTAGATGACACCTTTATTATTTGTAATATTGATTGTAACCTGAATAATATATTAAGTGTATTTAATGAGTGCCATCCTGCGATAAAATTCACACTCGAAATGGAGAACGAGTCTAGCATTCATTTCCTCGATGTGAACTTATCAAGAAGGACCGATGGAACTCTGAAGAGATCGATTTATCGTAGGCTGTTATGGAATGGTCAACTGACAAATTTCTATAGCTGGGTACCTATTGGTCGAAAACGAAACCTGGTCCGGTCGCTTGCCACTCGTATTCGGCGCATATGTAGCACTGATACTGTGGAAGATGAGTTATACACTTTGAGGAAAATCCTAATGGAAAATGGATTTCCACCACGTTTTATAGATAAGAATATACATTCAAAGCCTACAAAACGTGACTTATCAACCGCTCCCAAGAAAATACTTTACATGAGCTTAGAATTCAAAGGGGACTTAGCTTCCGATATCATGAAACGAAGGATATCACAGTCCCTGAAAAGAACATTCCCTGCTGCCTCTCTGAGAATAGCTTTTACTAGCCGACCATTATTGTTCAATAACCTGAAGGACAAGATCCCAATGTTGACCAACTCTATGTGCGTTTATCAATTCACCTGCTCTTGTGGAGCTAGGTATATCGGTCGTTCGACTCGAGTTTTGTCCAAGAGGGTGCAAGAACATTATCCTGCATGGCTACGAAAAGGTGGAAGTGGAGCAATAAGAAGCGCGATCATAGAACATCTGGTCGAAAATGATCACCCTATCTCTATAGCCTCCGCCTTTAAAGTCATCTACAAGGCAAAGAGCAATCTACCTAAATCCCTACGTACCCGACTCATCTGTATTGCTGAAGCTTTGGCTATCGAAACAGAAAAGCCAGATCTCTGTGTACAGAAAAAGTTCGTTCAACCCCTCCAACTTTCATGGTCTTAATCCCTCTATGCTAAAATATGATAATCCCCAATCATATTTTAGCTCTACCAATTTTTCATTTTGTCTATTCTATATATGACATTAATCTGCTTTGTCACTTGACATTTAACTACGATTATAATCACAAACATTTTAGTTTTAATTGAACTTCATATGATTATTATTATTATTTTATGCATTCACACCTAAGATTCAATTCCCTCACCACATATAACTTCTGAAAAACCATATATATATACGACTCTACAGCTTGATGATAAATTCGTTGAAAAGAGTCTCTTCGGTGAATCACTTGTTTTGATTTTCTATCATATTAGCTGGAAAATGGTTATTTTGTTGTATTATTCCGTGTATAATGTTTTTGAAGGACAACTTGAATGATACCGTTCACTACTATAGGATTCAGTGAGTTTATCAAACTTCTGCGATCAATAACCTTCTTTCTCGGTTCCTATTGAAGAGAATAGATTGAAGGTATGAACAATGTCTGTGCGTGTATGTATCTCGGTGACTGGCTCACTGGTTGTAGACTACAGAAGTACGATATCATCTTTCCGGCTAAAGTACTTATAATGTTGATTCCGCACATTCTACTCGGGATGACTGGAACGAAAACAAAATCTCTTCTGTTTTTCGGTTCGGTAGTTTTTTTTTTTTTATGGATTGCTTTATTCATGCTTGTCTTCATACGTCTTCTCTGTGTTTTAAAATTTCTCTAACACCTTTTTTCTTGTTTTTTTTTCATCCCCCCGTCTCATCACCACCCGCCACTGTCTCTAGCTTATATTCACAGTCTGGATTATTGTCTTCTTAATGCATGCTGTGGATATCTTTCAATTATTTTTCAAATTATATATCTATGCTCACACTCTATTGTCACAACATTCTCTCCTTAAACATTGGCTTAATCTTTCTTCAGATATTACCAGCAATACTAGTCATTCCTATGCAATGCCATCATTATCGCTAGATAATAATAATAATGAACGCGCCGCGTCTCTTACAAACTCAAACATGCCTATTCTGCCTGAGCTGAATGCTTCTTTTATATCTTCAGCTATTTCATCAACAATGAATTCATCAATCTACTCTGAAGAAGTACAAGAGTACAAGTCAATGAATAATGATCATGTTTATTCATCTACCACGCATATGTTGTATTTAGACGATCCAAGCGATAATGATTCTGAGGATTCTGCCTCATTCAATCAACAAGAATTAAATCATCATTTTCTTGAACAACCACAATCACAAGAACACCATCCTCATCATCCTCATGACATATCCTCCTCTATTGTCAATGCTGATATTAAATCTCAAATGAATATTTTAAATATACCAAATCATTTACAATTATCCGGGATTGTAATACACGAAAAATTCACATGGGATACAATGTTCATTTGGAATTATCTGGCGTATTATCATTGGCCATTATTAGCTAAACATTATAATCTTAGTTTAGTTGGCTGTCATTTAGCATTGCTGGAACCGGTACATTTAAAGCATAAATTTTATATGATCAAATCTGATAATGAAATTGAAAAATCTGATATGAAATCTGATCAGTAAGTGATTATTATTATTACTATTATTATTATTATGATTGCTATGCATTTCGATATTCTTAAATTATACCTGAATATATATAAAAGTCACAAAATAATTGAGCAAAGAAGAATATCCTTTTCGATAAATGCCTCTTCTGGCTGTACAATTTTACTTATCTGTTTGTATACATAGAATATTCTAGATTAGTTGTCAATATGAATATTTTAACTAATTAAAAATGCCCATTAAGATTGTTCAAAAGAATGGATACTGAAAAAAGAGTACTCTTCTCGATAACTTACTCTTCATCAGGCTCTACAGTTATATACATTATACATTATAGTGAATGAATGAATGAATGAATTAGTGTTATGAACAACATTAATGTCACTGTTTAAGTAACATCAAATCAATGCTATTGATAGATTACAGCTCAATAGCATCAACATAAAATAAGCTGAATGTAAGACAGGTAAATTAGGAAGGATAATATTACAAATTCATGAATTTATAGTCTCTACTGAAGATCGGCCACGGCACTAGTAGGATCTAGCTGGATTTGCTTCTTTTGAACACAGAGCACTGGTTGTTTGGGGCGAATTGCAATAGCCTCTGCTGTTTGGAGCATGCGATTCTTCGATGATTTTGGCAATTTATTAGGCACCCGGCAGATTGTAGAGAAGGATTTTTCCACGCTGGCTGGCTTTGCGGCAGGTTTAATATTAGTGTTTTTTTAAATAATTTCCATATGTAAGGTAAGATCAGTGCAATTACATTTCATTAAAGATGCTTGAATTATAATAATAATAATAATAAAGATATAATAGCAAATAGCATATCAACTAAAATTAAGGAAATTCTACAAAAATTCATGATCATTCAAACCTAGATGGTCAAGGTAAGGATAATGTCTGAACTAACTTCTTTTCGATACATAAATTAGGCTTGTTAATATGGATCCCTATAGGCAGCCTCAGCAATATTTAGTAGTCGAACTCTTAGGGCGAAATTGAGATTCGTAGGTATGCGGTAAATGCGGTAACCCTGAAAGCATGATTAGCGTCAATCTTGTATTTTGTATCTACAAGATGAGACAGAATAGCGCTTCGAATAGATTTTCTTTGTCCTTTACTTAACAAAAAACTCAGGGGGGTGATGTTCGTAAATTTGACGAGAAATACGCCTAATTGTACGGCCTATGTAACTGGATCACTCCACAGAAGCAGTTAAATTGGTAGATACACACTGAAGTTTGTCTTTTACTTCCGAAAGCAAACGAGGAGTGATTTTGAATACACGGCGTAATTCGGCTGCAGGGAATGCTCTTTTTACCGCATTTCTAAGACGCTGTGTTTTATTATCTCGTTGATGTTTTCCCCAAAGAACTGCATTTGTAAGAATTTAATTAAAACCAGAAGATGTCATTCCTAAAATAGCAGTAGCACTAGGTTCAATAGTTAAGAGAATAGCAGCAGAGGTTTGGGCACAATGTGCATTAACCCTGAAAAATCAAGAGAAGTGGATATGATTATGAGCAATAATTTGTGCTCGAAACGTCATCAGTTAATATTACTGTAGAACACTGTGTGATTTATCAAATATAAAATCTTATCCATAATGGAATTAAACTCTACCACAGTGCCCAAGTTTTATACTTATATTAATCGGTTCTTAGTTGGTTTTTCCCTAGTCAGAGTTTCTTGTTACTAATTTTTTTTTCTGGCCAGCTATCTCATCTTCAATATATAGTGCTAGCGAAGGTGACAGCTGTTGATAAAAGTCTACAGTGGATTGTTGGAAATCCTTTTCGTTTACACGCTAAGTATCTGACCTTTAGAGAAGAACTGAATTTACATTTGTGTTGCGTATCCCAATCTTGTTCTTTATACTGGTTGAATGAAGTAGAAGATTTCCAAGCTGGTTTCAGGTTGATGAAGGCATATCTCGCCTTTCCGATTCTGGCTGACTGACTTTGACACCTTCATCCGTTCCGGTCGCCTGTGTTTGAAACTGTGCTTCCTAATCGGATAAGTCAAGGAAGTAACCTCTTTCAAATCTCTCCCTTTGATGGTGATTGGTGCTGGTTGATGCTTGTTGTTATCTGCTTATCTTCATCATCTCCGTCTTCCCTATGTTGACCTGGAGTCCTGTCTTCGCTGTACTGCTTCTTCAACCAGAAACAGGTCAACTAGATTATTGGAACATAAAACAATGATGTTACAGAACGGAACTACACTGACTCCTAGTATAGAAATAGAGAGTCAAGTGGTAGAATACGTTAACCACTTCACTTATTTAGGAAGTACCATCAGCCAGTGCCAAAGGGTTAATCTCTGACGAAATCTCAGTATGGATACAGAAGGCGAGTTTCGCATGTACCAGATTACGCTGTGTGTTATGTATGCCTGGCCATCGCCTTCCTCGACCGACGGTCAATGTTAGCTGACATAGGTGTGATAAGGTTGGAAAAGAGCTAGCGGTGGTCAAAACAAAACATGGCTCCAACAGTCAATGAAATCCACAACTGTTAGTTTAAGCCAGCCTACCACGTCGGAAAGTGTAGACTTCCTGACTGGTTGGGGTCCTCGGGACCTTTAAAACCAATGGTTGGAAACAATTAGTGATATGGCTTAAAATCCTGGTTCTCAATGACTAGCGCAGATTCATCCAATCCTTGTGACTTATGATTTCCAATGAAACTATATTGTTCTTCGTTATTACTATTCCTTTGTGTTACACCTCTGTTTACTATCTCTACTATACATTTCTTCTCTTGATTTGTGTGCTACTTGGGGAAGTGTGGCGACTTGAATGGGCGCACATATGTGCAAAGTTCTATGTCGAAAGCAGACAGACAGACAAAAATTTAATTAGACCTGTATTGATTGAGCCTCCTAAGTTAAATAGCCTAGATAAAAGCTCAGTCACCGCATTACATTCACTTACATGTTATCACGAAATAGGGTGGGTGGGACATGTTGAGTGTATTAAAAAGTAATATACTTAGGTGGAAAGACAGAGAGAGGTTAATCACTGAAGCTTCGTTTATCGATTTAACACCGCACACTTTCAATCAGAATGATACAACGCCCATATCGGAGATATAGAAAGTGACAACAAATGACATGAAGAAGTTGGAGAGAGCGAGAGAGAGAATATATAAACCTTAGACAAATTGTGAAGCCACGTAACTACAGTACTATGATTATGAGCAGTAATTTACGCTCGAAACGTCATCCAGTTGTTAATACTGCATCATCACTGTGAGATATTTAAAATAAACTTATCTAATAAGAGATTATGCGTGAATGTTTTCATCTCTTTGCGTTCTTAGTAGAACACATAGGGCTTCAAGTTTGAGCGTTTGAGCTTGAACTTTCAATAGCAATGGTGTTAATTATTTGTGAAATAGGGTTTGTAACGTCACACCCAACCTTCCCTAGCTACTGGACTTGCTACCTGCGAAAAGAGGTTTAGAAGTGCGTCTACAGGAAATGGAACCCCTGCCCACTTGCGTGACTGGCGTGTATTCTGCCATGAAACTTTCGTCCAACTAAGGTATATGTGGAACTCACTAATTATTATCATCATTATTATTATTGCTTGCTTGTAACCGGAAGGTCGTGGGTTCGAATAGTGCAGGGTGGTGGCGTACTTCCGATGATTCCCAGACTACGATGAAACAGCTCTCCAGTACTCCCAGCTGGTTTTCAATGGTTCTCTGATATAAATCCGTGATCATTAGTATTGTCAAGCTAGTAATCCTTTTCATGATTGGTTGTCAATTCAAGTGCATTCTGCTAGTTAAGAAATGAAATTAGTTTTGCGATGTGCATCAAATTAGTTTGAACTCCAGTAAAGATGTGGCTCATTGGCCAAAACATTCAACGGTCAGTCAGTCAGACAGTCCAGGATTCAACGCCTGCCGCTCCCTATTTAATTCAGTCAGGACGACTAGGCAGTATATCATTACCCCTAACACAATAATCACGTGGCTCTTCGTCTGGTGCTTGAAAGAGCTGTCAGGAATAATTGTGTTCAAACTAAATCAAAGTCTCAATCATGACTTCACGATAGGATCTTGTATAGGACATATTCTATCAGATGATTATATGTACATACATTCGTGTGATCATAATTTGTTGGTCAAAAAGGAGTAGTCATTGAGGTTGACGGATTGTCTGTCTGTCTGGTTTCAACGTAGAACTTGGCACCGAAGTGCAGCAGTTCGAGTTGCCACGTTCCAATTGGCACACAAGGTAGACAAGAAGATGAAGTGAAGAGAATCAATAGAGTTTGACAAATATAAGAGTGAAACAGAATGGGTAGTGGTAGAAAGGAATATGAAAGATTACAGAGACTGAATACATCTGCGCCATTGACAACGATTTTGAGCCATGTCACCTACTGTCTCCAGCCATTGATTCCTAGAGTCCCGAGGACCCCAACCCGGGAGTCTGCATCTCCCTACCTGACCGACTCAGTTTAACTGTCAATGATTTCATGGATTGATGCCATGTTTTTGTTTGGCCACCACTGGCTCTTTTCCAATCTGAACCTATATCAGCTAGCAAAGCCCGTCGGGGGAGGCGGTGGTTAGGCATGCGCAGCACGTGACCTAGCCATCTTAGTCTATGTAACTTTATAACCTCGTCGATTGATTTTCCCTCTTTGCCCAACACTCTACGCCTAACTTACTTACTTTACTTTACTTCGGCTGTCTCCTACGGGAGGATGAGCCGGCTTCATGAACGTCTCGAATCATCGCTGCCCAGGCGCGGCAATTTGTAAGAGAGTTCATGTCAACATTACTTATCTTGTGAAACCACCTAACGTGAGACAGAGATCGCAGACATCTATGATCGAAAGCAGTCAACCTTTTCATGTCTTCAACGCGTATTGGCCATGTTTCAGAGCCATAGACAAGGACGGAGCGAACTGATGAGCAGTACACACGTCCCTTGGTTGATAACCGGATGTCACGCCTACGCCAGAGATGGTGTAAGTCAGCGAAAGC